GAGAGTTGTTAAGTTAAAGTGAAAATTTTTTTGAGACTCAATCTGTATTGCTCATTGTCTTCCTAAGAAAGTATCATATATACCATGTTACGTCCTCACCTGCTGAAAATGTGAACATCTGTTGCTGCCTGGCCTTACTTCCTGTCATCTCCCACAGCAGACAGTATCTGTACCCCTTAAAATTTACCACTTTGTGATGTTGGTTTTCTTTGCAGAACACTCTATGGCGTCTACACCAAGTAATTAAAAAAAAACTTATTTCAAGGGGAAAAAAAGTCTATTGAATAAAAGTCTCAGTAATCTCCTAAATAAAAATCAGACTTTGAAAACTCTGTGAAGCACGTTTCTACTCGGACACATACAAGATTGCCATGAGTTAGAAATACTACTTCGTTTTTACATGTGAAAAAATTGAGGCATGAAAACAAAAAGGAATAAGGCTGTTTTCCTGCACTTTATGAACTTCATAGCAGAGGAGAGAGGTGTATGTCTAAGTTATTAGCTCAATATCAGCATTATGTCGAGGAATGGGTAAGAAATAACATGATGGAAGAAGGCAGCATTCAGGAAAGTCTTAAAGAAAGCAGGCTTGAAAGATAACTAGGATTTGTCAGGTATTTAAAGGGAGAAAGCAATTGAGACAAATATGTATGACGGTGTGATTGGTTAGCGGGCGGCAGCCTTTCCAGATGTTCCTCATGCTCCCAGGATGGAGGACACTTCACATGGGACCCTGGTCCTCACATCATGAACTTGATCAGTATGTTATCTAGTGAAAACTGTAAGGATTCAAGATGATTAGAAAATGATATGTGATTGGATGTGTATAATAGGCAAATCCCAAAAGATATGATGCAAGACATTTAAAGGAATATTTGAACATTTTGTGGAAATAGTTTTTGGTAAGGATACAAAGAAATGGTGTATTTTATGTTTACTGTAGTATTAGGAACAGACACCTTCTCCAGAGAGATGACAGAAGGGTTATTTTCTTCAGGAACCAAGGGTGGTTGGAATATATGGAGAGGGTGTATTGAAAAATGGTAAATAAATTAAGAATTGTGGTTGATGCAGTATCAGTCAACCTAAGCAACCTTAAATGCAAAGATCATGACCAATCAAATGAACTAATATAGAAGCTAGACTGTTCTGAGAAGGATCTGTTTGGTACTAACCTAGATGGCCAATGAAAAAGGAGACCTTCAGTGAGATGGGTTGGCTTGGCGATGGCAACAGCCAAGATGATGCCGTGTAGGGATAAGTTTTTGCCTGCTATTTAGAGAGTCAACTATGAGTGGTCGCTGGCTTGATGGCATTAAATAACAGACTTAAAAACCTTGACCATGAAGACATCAAATTATCATTAAATGTGTATATCCTTTAATATAAAAACTTATCTGCAAGTTACTTTTCTTCACACTAAAAAATAATTTGGAATAGTTTTAATTTTAACTATAAATATATTCACTACATGTCTAAAAACTAAAGTTTAGGGAAAAAAATGTCTGGCAATAACAATAACTTACTAACTCACTAACTGAGATCTAAAGATTTTATTAAATTATGTGTGTGTGTGTATATAAAATTTTTTTTCAGGTCTTTCATTCATAGGTTCACCATGAGTCATCTATGACTTGACAGCACTTAACAACAACACATACACACACAAGTATATATATGTACATGGATGTGTGTGCATATCTATGTATATAGATCTAGATATATATATGGATGTGCATATATATATATAGTATATGGATGTATATATGTATATCTATGTATATGGATGTGTATATATGTATATGAATATGTGTGTGTGTGTGTATATATATATATATATATATATACACATACTTGGATTTGTGTGTATACATACACACTTTGGAAGCAGGAGTGGCATCCATTTCCTAAACAACATGCCTCTGGAAACTCTATGAACTTTGATAAATGTCAATAGTTATAGAAAGGCTTCAGGTCTTTTGTTCATAGGGTTGCTATGAGTCATGCTTCACTGACTTGAAGGCAATCAACAACAATTATGTGTGTGTGTGTGTGTGTGTATGTATTATATATGTGTGTGTGTGTGTATACATATATACTGTTAACCTAAAGATTGGTGGTTTGAATTAGAATAGCAGGGCCATGAAAAGTAGGTCTGGTGATCTGCCTCTGTAAAGATTACAGTTCAGGAGACCTGTGGTGCAACTTGTTGTATAGGGAGGCCTTGAGCTGACTTCAGCACTACAACAGTGAGTTACGGGGGTTTTGGTTAATTGTTTGATTTAAATAACGGATGTTGTTGTTGTGTGCCATCAAGTAAAGACTGACTCATAGCTGATTCTCCAACAGGTTTTCAGAGGTAGTAAATCACAAGGGAAGAGGTTGTTCATCCTTCTCCTGTGGAACAGTTGGTGAATTCGAACTGCATGCCTTTGGGATTCTTAGCAATAAGGTCGTTGCCGATAGAATGGAGTATAAGACAATAAAGTATGGTAGAGGCCCATTTGATGGACAGGAAAAGATGTACATTAGAGAGAAAATATCTACGTGCATCAACTCGATTCATTTTCATCAACATGAACTGACTCATTGCTGTACCTCTTTTGGGTTTCTGAGGCTGCAACTGCACCAGAGGAGGTTGCACACCTTTCTTCTGCAGAGCTGCTGGTGGATTTGAAAATATCAGAGAAGTATTGTCTCTGTGTTAGAAGTGCAACTCCCTAATGGCTACATCACTAGATTTCTCTGGGTAGTTGATAAAAATTTTGCTCCTGAGAAAAATAAACTTGAAAATATATTAGCCAAAAAGTTCACCCTGATTGTTTATTGATGTTGTTGTTGTTGTTAAGTGCCATCAAGTCACAGGCGACTCATAGCAACCCTATGAAGGAGAGTCCTCAATGCTTGGGTGCCTTTCATCCACTCTCCAGGTTCATAGGGTTTCCGGAGGCAAGCTATTATGGAAGTGGATGCCACTCCTCCTTTCAGCCTTGTTTTAATCGGGGAGCTACACCCCACTCTCTGTCCTCATTGGGTAGCCAACCATTAACTCATTTGACACACCAGTGTCACAGTGTTCAGCCTCACAGCAACCACAGGTGACTGTGATATGGCAACTTGTACACCAGGGCTATACGACCTAGAGGAATGTCTGAACAAAAACAATGAAAGACAGACCTGAGGGCCGTGGATTAAAAGTCACCCACCTTTGGCTTGGTAGCATCGCCTTCTCTCCCCTCTTCCCCTTTTGGCCTTGAAGGCCCCTGCTGCCTTAAACCCTAGGCCAAACCTGGCTTGCCTGGCGCCTAAGAAAAAGAAACTTAAAAATATATTAGCCAAAAAGTTCACCCTGGTTGTGTATTGATAGTGAACTTAAATTCTTGGTTCTGTATTTCTGTGTTTACTAATTCTTTTCAGAATTAAACATTTATGATTGTTTCATAGCAATTAAAGAGATTTTTGTTGCTGTTAAGTTCTGCCAAAACCGTTAAGTTTAGAAGGTGTGTAGTAAAGTCTAATCTTGACTGATAGAATAACCTAAAATCATATTTGTGATTTACTTCAATGTACCTCAAGTTGTGTTAAAATGTGGTAGAAATGAAAACTGTATCTAGACTGTGGATGCTTAAGTGTTATATACAAGAAGGAAAACCCCCCAAAGATCATTAATAAGAGAAGTCATCTTTTTAACCCTATATTGTGACAGTAGAGGAACTGAGAGCCATCTGGAAAGAAAGATAGATTTCTGGTGCCAGTTTTTATAATCATAATGGAATTGAGTTCCTAAGAAGATTATTACCAGGTGGGATGGAAAGAGATCTTTCTCAGCAAGCCAGCCTTAATGTACCCAGTGTGCCTCTTGACTGAGTAATTCCACTTCCAGAAGTTCTTCTCTCAATAAGCCCACTTGCACACAAAAGAATCTGTCCCGTGGCATTTTTTTGACTGTTTGAAATTTTTTTTAAAAATTATTATAATGTCCATCTCAGAGAAATGGTTGTTGTTATTAAGTATCATTGAGCCCACTTGACTCATAGTGACTACAGCCAAATGAACCTTGCCCTATCCTGTGTCATCCTTGTGATGACCTCTGATATGCTCAAGCCCATTGTCAACATCACTGTATCAGTCCACCTTGTTAGAGGTCTTCCTCTCTTTCACTGACCTTCCACATTTTCCAGTGTGATGTTCTTTTCTAAGGATTGGCCCCTCCCAACAATCTGCCCAAAGTGTGTGAGACGAAATTTCACCATTCTTTCCTGTAAAGGGGTACCATGGCTATACTTCCTAACAGACAGACTTGGTTCTTCTCTTGGAAGTCCACTGAATATTTAGTATTCTTCTCCAAGACAACAATTCAAAGGCCTCAATCCCTCCATAATCCTTTTTTTCAACTTTCAGACACATAAGAAGCAATTGAAAATATTAATTATTGTATCAAGTACACCTTAGTAATTAAATTGACATTCTTGTTCTTTAGCACTTTAGAGAGATCCTTCACAGCAAATTTTATCATGAAGTCACTGTGAATAACTACTTACCATGGTAAAATCCTCCAAACACATTTTTTTTCTAAAAAAAAAAGCTAATTAATGCACGTCCATTTGAGGAAAAAATTATTATGAAGGACTTTAGACATTAGTTTCACCTTTTACTTAGATTTTTAGATATATTTAGCAAGCACTTGTGTTTTTGAAAAAAATTTAAAAATAAAATAGTGTTAAGAACATAGGCAGTGGCAGGCAAAATCTGAAGTTTCCAGAACATTCAATAATTTTTATGCTATATAATTCTCATAAGCATTCAGTAAGTTTATATTTTTATTGGATAGATTTAGTACCTTAATAACTTAATTGTTTTAGCCAAAGTGTTATATCCTTAGCTTTAAAGAAAAGAAAAGAAAAAGGAATTTCTTTCATTATGAAGAAATGGAACAATTTTAGTTCTGGGAAAAAGATAAATGGGAATCATATTACAGTCATGTTTGCTTTTGTTTCTAGAACCTGAATGCTCCTTTGTTGTCTGGGGACTTATAGCCTTCTTAGCCTTGGCACTCATTATATCTCTGATCTTCAATATCTCTCATTATGTAGAAAAGAAGCGACAAGGTAAGTCATCCTAACAAATCATCTGCTCAAAATGAAATGTGTGGCACCACTGTAAAAACCTTTAAAAGAATTACGAACTGTTGTCACTCAATAGGGTATTTTTATTTGTGGAAAATTAATTTAATAAATGCTTCATCCTAAAAGCTTTATTGAATTAAAATGACAATCATATTTACAATATTTGCAAACACCAAAACTGCATTTTATCAATTAGTGGTCCTTCATTTATGTTTTTGTTGTTGTTGTTGTTGTAGTTGTTAATGTGCCATCAAATAGCTGGAGACTAATAAAGACCCTATACACAATAGCCCTGAAAACTGCTCTACCCTGTGCTGATCTTATTGTCTTTGACACACTTGCCCTCATTACCCCAGTCACTGAATCAATCCATCTCATCCAGGGTCTTCCTCTCTTGCAATGTCCCTTTGCCTTTCCAACAGTGATGTCCCCCTCCAAGGACTGGTCTCGCCTGGCAACATGCCCAAATTATGTCAGACGAAGCCTCAGAATCTTTGCCTTCAAGGAGCAGCCTGAGTTCACCCTCTCCAGGACAAACCTGTTTGTTCTCCTGGCAGACCAATACACTTCTTCAGCACCACAGTCCAAAAGCATCAAGTCTCTTTCTGTCATACCTAGTATTGTCTAGCTTTCTGATGCATAGCAAGTAATTGTGAAGACTATGGCCTGAATCAAAGTGCATCTTAGTCTCCAGAATGATATTGTTGCTCATCAGTATTCTGGAGAAGTCCCTGACAGTAGATTTTCCTGGTGCCATTTATCTTTTGATTTCCTGGCTGCTAGTACCAAGAGTGTTGATGATGGAGCCAAGAAAACTAAAGCTGTTAACAATCTCAATCTCTTCACCATCTATAATAATGCTGCCAATTGGCCCAGAGGTGAGAATCTTTGTTTTCTTGATATTGAGCTCCAATCCATATTGCTGCAGTCCTTGACCTTCTTCAGCAAGTGCTTCAGGTCCTCCTTAGTTTCAGCAAGCAGGGTTGTGTCTTATACATAGCAAAAATTGTTCATGAGTCCTCCTCCAATATTAATCCCACATTCCTCATAGAGACCAGTCTCCTGAGTGATCTGTTCTGCATATTGATTGAAAAGGTATGAAGATAGAACATATCCCTGGCATACTCTCTTCCCATTTTGAACCATGCAGTGTTTCCTTGCTCTGTTCTGAAGACTCCTTCCTGGTCCAAGCATAAGCTTCACATAAGCATAATTAAGTGGTCTGGGATTCCCATTCTTCTCAGAGTTAGTCACAATTTGTTGTAATCTCAGCCAATGAAACACAAATAAACATCCCTCTGGTACTCTCTGCTTTCAGCCAAGATCCATCTAACAGTAGCTATAATATCCCTAGGACCACGGCCTCTTCTAAACCCAGCCTGCCCATCTGGCAGTTCTCTGTTGATGTGCTGTTCCAGTCATTTTTTGGATACTTTTCAGCAGAGTCTTATTTACATGTGATATTAATGATATTTTTTTATAATTTTGGCACTCTCCTGTCATCTTGCTTTGAAATGGGAACAAATATACATCTCTTCCAGTCAGTCTTGTCTTCCAGGTTTCATGGCATGACTTGACGAGTACATCCACTTATGTTTAGAGTATGAAACTGAGAGGAAGAATATTGACTTAAACAGATATTTTCCCTCCTCCATTTTAATAATCTATGGTGTCAAGGCTAACACCTGCAACATTTTAGAGAACAAGGCGGGGAGGAGGGGCAGGACATGGGGAGAGGGAATGTGTGCAGGAGGCCAGGAGGCAGTGACTCAGCTAACCTCTGCATAACACAGGTAGGACTATGTTTCCCAGAAGCCCATGGAACAAGAACAACGTTATATACTAAACCTACAGGATATATCACCCTCCCCTGGGAAACTATTCCATTGTGACTACAGTGTACTACAATGGAGGTGAAGAGGCCCTAACCCACAAGAAGTCAATTCTGGAGCAGAAGCTCAAGGCAAAGAACTTTTCCTCAGAACCAATTAAGATAGGAAGCCTTTCTTGATACTAGTACTAGTGTTTGGGCTTACAGACTCCTAGACTCAAGAGATAGTGCCCACAGCAGAAGAAACTGGCAGCATCTTGAGGTGTTCAGAATCACAGAAGCCCAGAACACTTGAGATATAAGCCATCATAAAGAGATGGATAGGGGAGATAAGTGTTGAATGGAGTTGGTGGGAGTAGGAGGGAATACTGGTGGAGCAGAGAAAGGGGTGGGTCAAGATACACATATCAAGGGAGGGGACAACTGAAACTATTGGTTATTTCTACAACTGGGAAGTATCTTTCATCTGCTCTTTTCCATGAAATGCTTGTATGTCAGATAATGTTGAGCATTCAAATTAAGACAAACTAGGAAGAAGGATTTGCCATCCACTTTTGAAATGGGCCTTTGATCTTCTGTACCAGTCAAATCCAATTTGACAGTACACACACAGAAATAGGCCTTTGAAAAATCCAATATATAATAGAGCACACTTAGACTAGCAGATACGGCAATTGAGGCTGAGCCCTCAGGTATGGAAACATAAAGGAGGAAGAATGTTGTAAGCTGACACTAGTGATTGGAATATGGAATGTGAGAACCAAGAATTTAGGAAAATTGGATATTGTTAAGACAGAAATGGAACACATAAACATTGACATACTAGGTATTGGCGAAATGAGATGGACTGGCATGAGACATTTTTAGTCAGACTGGAGATGAAAAGTTAAGGAAAAATGGGGCTATTTTCAGAGTTAAAGAAGTAATTTCTAGATCCATCTTGACATAAAATATTGTGAGTGACAGGATAATATCCATACGCATACAAGGAAGTCCAGTGAAAACCACCATCATTCAAATATTTGCACCAACAACCAGAGCCAAAGAAGAGGAAATAGAACATTTCTACCAATTTTTACAGTCAGAGAATGATCGAACACACACTCAAGATGTATTAATAACAATGGGTGACGGGAATGCAAAGGTTGGGAAAAGAGCAAAAGGATCAGTAGTTGGAAAACATGGACGCAGTGACAGAAATGAAGCTGGAGATAGAATGATAGAATTTTGAACAAACAACGACTTATTTATTGCAAATACATTTTATAAGAAACATAAATACAAGGTATACACCTGGATTAGACCTGATACTATGCATGGTAATCAGATTGATTACATCTGTGAAAAGAATGACTGGAGAAGCTCAGTATCAGCTGTGAGAACTAGGTCAGGTGCTTCTTGTTGAACAGACCACCAACTACTCACATGCAAGTTCAAACTGAAGCTGAGGAAAATGAAATCAAATCCACAACAACCAAAATTGGTACTTGAGTCTATCCCACCTGAATTTCAAAACCATCTCAGGAACAGGTTTGAGGCCTTGAACACTAATGAACAAAATCTAGATGAACTGTGGGAGGATACCAAGAATATAATTCAGGAAGAATGCAAAAGGTTATTGCAAAGACAGAGGAGGAAGACAAGACAAAGATGAATGTCAGAACAAACTCAGAATATTGCACTAAAGTGCCGAGAAGCTAAAGCAAAGGGAAGAAATAAAGATATTAAGGAGCTGAACAGATATCAAAGGGCAGTGTGGAAAGACAAAGTATTACAACGAAATGTGCAAAAAGCTGGAGTCAGAAAGTCAAAGGGGCTGAACTCGCTCATCATTTCTTAAGCTCAAGAAGCTGAAGAAAAATTCAAGCCTTGAACTGAAATACTTAAGAATGCTTTGGGAAGAATATTAAATGATCCATGAAGCACTAAAAGAAGATGGAAAGAGTATACAGAGTCAATGTAGCAAAAGAAATCAGCGGACACAGAAGAATTTCATGAAACAACATATGATCAAAAGCCTGGGGTGAAGAAGAAAGATGTTCAAGCTTCTCTGAAAGAATTGGTAAAAAGCAAGGGTGCAGGAATTGATGGCATGCCAATTGACATGTTTCAACAAACAGACGCTGCCCTGGATATGTTCACCAAATTGCGCCTAGAAATCTGGAGGACAGCCACCTGGCCAACTAATGGAAGAGATCTATTTTTGTCCACATCCAAGAGAAAGGTGACCCGACACAGTGCAGAAATTATTGAACAATATCATTGATATCACATGCTTGCAAGATTCTGCTTAAGATTATCCAAAAATGACTGTAATAGCATATCAACAGAGTGAAAATTTTTTTAAATTTTATTTTGTTATTTTTGTGTGAGTGTACCATCAAATCAGATCTGACTGGTACAGGAGGAGATTTTCCTTCCTTCCCCAGCAGAGCATCTGGTGGATTCAAACCATGCACCTCTGGGATTGTAGTTGCAGCTCCTTACCACTAGGCCACCAGAGCTCCCCTCAGAGTGAAACTTATAATTCCTTGTTTTGTGCCATCAGTAGTGGCCGTTCACGCAAGGGGAAAGAATGTAGGAACTAAGATGGATGAACAAAGTCCTTGTGAAATAAGTCTAGCAGGATAGACTTAATGTAAAATGACTGGAACAGCACATCAATAGGGAACTGCTTTGTAGCTAATGTTAGATGGATCTTGGCTGAAAGCAGGGAGTACCAGAGGAATGTCTGTCTGTGTTTCATTGATTATGGAAAGGCTTTTGACTGTGTGGATCACAACAAACTGCGGCTGACTCTGAGAAGAATGGGAATCCCAGAGCACTTGATTGTGTTAATGCGAAACCTATTCTTGGACAAGGTGGCACTTATCAGAACAAAGCAGGGAAACACTGCATGGTTCAAAATTGGGAAGGGTGTATGCCAGGGATGTGTCCTATCTCCGTACCTTTTCAACCTATGTGCAGAAGAGATTATCCCTGAGGCTGGGCTGTATGAGGAGAAAGGTGGCATCAGGATTGGTAGAAGATTCATCAACAATCTGCATTATGCAGATGACACAACCCTGCTTGCTGAAACTGAGAAGGACCTGAAACACTTGCTGCAGAGAGTCAAGGACTGCAGCCTTCAATATGGATTGAGACTCAATAT